TAAACAGCAACTCTGCACAGGGGCTGCACTAGAGGAAATATACAGAAATCAAATTGACTTCATTTGTGGGATGGGATGATGGAGAAGCTCGGTATCACCAGCTATAACAAGGTCAGGGGTCAACTGCAGGAGGAACTATCAATTGCTTGTATACATGTTTAAGTTGAAGCTAAAGACAAATTTTCAAATTACTCAAGACCCAAAGCACAACTTTATATATCGCACCTGGATATAGACACCATCTCAAGGATATATTTGACATTGATATCTGTCTATGGGTCAGAATATAGTTAATTGTGCAGATTATCCTAGTGCCTATTTCCCTGAGTATACAAAGATTCTACTCCACTTCCTCCTGTCACTCAAGGAAGAAACCCAGAACGCTATTTTTTAAATAATAAATTGACATTCCAATCCTATTTCTCACTCATCAGATGAGAGAGCTGGTGCTCAGACAGGCTAAGTGACTTGCCTAAGGTCAGAAACATACTCAGTGGCAGACTGGGAAATAATTAAGTGTTCCTTGTAGAACAAGAAAGGCAAAAGTCAATTGTGTGCCTTTCCATTACAAGCCCTACAGCTAGACCTCAAGCAAGCTAAATCAATTCCCTAGACCTTTGGAAAGCAATCCTTACAGACCCACAGAGCAGGGTAGTATACCTCCCATTGAAGCACAGTAATTTTTAAGAGAAGCATAACAGTACATCTCTTTCTGTTTTCTTTCTCTCTCTTTTTTGCTTTTACTTTCTTACAGAAACACTGGTAATCATTCTAAAGTCAAACATAAAATTCCCATCACCCTGGAATAGTCTTGCCTTCAGTGGCCCCTAACCTGGAAATGCTGTGCTCCTTACTCAAAATTCTGGGCTCCTATTTAATTCCAATTAGTATGTGTATAATGTTTTTTTTGCATTTGCATGTGGTAATTCTGCCAAGATTTTATAGACTTGAAACATCATTGGTCATCTTCTACAAAACATTCTGACCTGGGCGAATACAGAGGCCGGGGGCCTTGGCAACACGCGGGTCCTTTCTTCCTCAAGGTGATGATAGAAGGGGGAAACGTGTAGGTCTCAAGAGTCAGCTCTCCATTCTCTTCAGAACAGGGGTTAACCCTGAGCCCCAGTGTGCCTTCTGCACTTGGCAAGGCCTCTCAGAGTGAGCTGAAGAACATGTTGGTGTCCTCCCCAGTTCAGTAGACTAAGTGATGCAGCAGTTCCTGTAGTTTTAGGGTGTATGCAGCAGTATTCCCAGAGCCCTAATCTATGGGGAAGCACTCTGAAGTCACACCAGCCTATCCGGGAGAAAGGCTCCCTGGCCATCTTTCTCTGCAGAACCTGTGTAATTCCATCCTTATCACTCCTGGAAAGCATATCGTGCATACCAATGGAAGCAATCTTTCCATTAGGGCTAACCCTAAATCAAGGCTTGGTATAAAATAGAGACATATTAAAAAAGTTATACAAACAAAGGTGTGTGCTGCTACGAGCGTTAAAGGAGTACAATTATTCAAGTCTTAGAGATACGGGTAAAGTTTTCACAGTGTTATAAGAGTTAGAGTAGTGGCAGTAATAACTTTTATTACTTTGTTATCAGCTGCACCCCGTGAGTTGGAATCCACTGGATGGCGAGGGGGGTGTGCTGGTGGTGTTGCTATCAGGCACAGTCACCGAGTTCAGTGCTTTTCATGTGGTGGCTCGTTTAATTCTCAGAGCCATGTTAGTTTTCTCCCCATTTTAGAGAAAATAAGCATAAAGTAAATGAAAGATTGCGGTTATACCATAAGTTTTATTTAAGATTTTTAGCCCTGTTACGTTGCATTGAAAGGAATCCTGACAGCGCTGTCCAGTAAATATTGGACTGCCAACCCCAAGGTTGGTGGTTCAAACCCACCAGCCATCCCCACCGGAAAGATGAGGCTCTCTGCTCCTGGAGAGGCTGCCATCCTGGGAACTGACTCAGATGCAGTAATTTTGTTCTCTTTTTTGAGAAGGGGATTGATGGAATCATCTCGCAATGTCAAGCACAGTAGAATGATGGCAGTGACTCCCTGTTGTCACTTCCTTCAGTCACTCTATGAATGAGACCTTCCCTGACCACCAAAGGGGAAGAGATCAAACTCCCCAACCCAGACCTGGCGAGGTTTCCCCACTCAAATCTAAGCTCCACGAATCAACCATTCTGACTCATGACAGCCTAATGTGTGCCTGTGGAAAACCGCCCTCTCTAAGGTTTCCAACGACTAACTTTGGTTGTTTTTTTGAGTAGATAAAGGGAGCCTGAGTGGACTTAACCAACCAGCCTTTGGCTTGGCAGCCAAAGGCATTAACCATTTGCCCACATGGACGCAAGCTCCATAAGGGGAGGGACTAGTCTTTTGACTGTTGTATCCCAGCCCCTAGAACAGATCTTTCCTTGGCCTGTACCAGGTATTTCATACGCTTTTGTTGAGTAAGTAAATAATGGAAACGAATAAAAAACCTAGACTATAACGAACATTAAAACTTAAACGAATGGCTTGCTTTGCCTTCTCAATGACTGGAGGGTTTTTGTGGCATGACGGAAGATGCCGGCGTCTCTTAAAAGGCTGGGCAGGATGTCTAAACTGATAAGATCATTAGATTCTTTACAAAATTGCCAGAAGCTAGCACAGATGTTCAAACTCATTCTATTGGCTGTGCTTAAGAACACCAACAAAAATTTTAATGAAAAAAAGCTTGTAATTTCCTTATTAGTGTCCAGATGACTTTGAGCATTAAATACTTCATTAAACACTAGAGACAACATTTTACATTTGGCAACTTCATTTATCAATAGACAACAACAGTCTTTGAGTGCCTTACATATGCCAGGCTTTGAGACAGCGGGTCTGGAAGCAAACGGCACAGTGAAATGGGAAGGCGACTGTGATTCCCCTCTAACGTGGCACATCTGCTCTCCTGGCCCTCCTTCCCAATCACTGCCTTGGTTTCCGAGAACTAAGTGAGCTACTGCAACAGCATTTTTAGGGTAACTGACCACTTTGGCAAGTTTTATTGTTATTTTTATTTCCTGCACTGTAAAAGTCGTTGAAAATTATGCAGTCCATGCAAGGAAAAAGGATGCAACTTTGGTAGACTTTTACAAAAATTATAGGAAAAAATGCTTTTTTGTTATTTTATTTGTTTTGGAGGGTATTTTTTGGGGGGTGGGGCATTCAATTTTGGATGAACTAAAATTATGGCCTGTATAAGAATTGAATCGAGTTGGGTGAGACTGGGCGACAAACAGATGTATATGTTTTAGCGTTCTACCTGCCCGGTGCGCTCAGCACTCTCTTTGGACTGGCTGGGGCATGTGTCCTAATTCCTACGAGGAGAACAGCGATGCCAACCACACACACACTGCTGGTGAGTCCAATCCAGGGCCTAGTGACCCCTTAGGGCAGAGGAGAGCTGTCCCATCGGGTTTCCAAGGCTGTATAGCTGCAGGGAAACAGATAGACACATCTTTTCCCCATGTAGCAGCTGGGGGGTTGAACCATTGACCTTGTTGCTAGCAGTTGAGGACTTAGCCACTGTGCCACCAGGGTCCCTGAGCAACTATTAGGCTTTTAAGAAAACAAACAAACAAGAACACAACACTGAAACACCTGCCAACTGATGTGACAAATGACTTGTAAATTGTAAGTGTATAACATTTTGTTGATATTGCTGGCATCTTGATTATTATTTCGTTTTCAGTTTCTGCCTTTCATTGGGGGGGGGTAGTGTTAAATTTATATTTACACTTCCCCCCAAATCTCTAAATATTTAATTTCTTAAGCTTAAAGATACTACTAATAAATTGTCTTCCTTTCCACCCACCAATAGTATTTTCAATCAAAGAAAAAAATGTTTGAAGAAAAGGGAATGAAATCACATTTCCTTCACAGCCTTCTCAGCGGAATGTCCCCTTTACCTGGAGGTCCCCTTCGGGAAGAATACCTGGCCTTTCGAGATGATGGGAGAGCAGTTCCTGCCATGAGCTTACAGTCAAGTGATGAGGTGACTTTGCTCGTGTGCTCATCTTTGTGAGTAGACGCAGTACAGTGTTCATGCAGAGGGAAGGTGGCTGCTGTACAAAGCTAGAAATAGCTGGCGAAAAGCTTATTGACATCAGAGGAAATAGGCGTGTAGTCATCTCAAAATTCCTCAAGCAATCACTGAAATGGCCTCCTCAGCAGACTGGAGTACTGGCCACATGGAAAAGCTGTGTCCCAGTCATGCTTAGGTGCTACTCCTCAGACAGCGCCATGACCACAAACCGAACGGGTCAGCTAGAAAGCGTTTCACTAATATGAAAGTCAGTGGAGAATACAAAGCTTGCAAATTCACGCATCCTTCACATTTCTGAGGGGTTTATGAGCACAAACGTGATTTTTAATTTGGCACAAAGATATATAACTAGATATGTTCATAAACCTACTGGTCCATCTGATTCTACTCAGCTCCAGAAAGGGGAAAAAATCACTGTTAAATGTATTACCATATTAATTTGTTTTATCTCCAAATCTGGAATGAAGATGTTCAATGTTACTGTGCCTCCAATCCTTAAATGACAGCAAAATTGTATTTTCAATGCCAATACTCACAGTTATTGCTGGCTCTATTACCCCTCTGCCCAGCCGAATGTTCTGGCTCCTTGTATGGAAATTGTAGAGTTGTGTCTAAGCTCCGGAACCCTTCTTTAAGAGAATGATGCTTGTAGTACTCCACAAGTTCCTTTAGGGGAAAAGGTCATTTTTGTCAGGAATACTTTTATTCTCCTTCAAATAAGCACATCCACATACAGTTATAAGCACTCCTAAGAGTAATCCATTGAATTCTAAAGTTCTGTGTGTGGATGAGGCAGTAGAGGACAGTCTTCTTGTGCTGTGTGGAAGGGACACATGACACTGTCCCAGGCACTGTCCTTGTTCCCAAGTCCCTCACAATGTGAGTTGCGGCCTATTGTGATTCATGGGCATAAAACACCCTGCTCGTCTTCAATCAGAAAGTGGCAGAAGAAAAGCAACCAGACCAAACTTCAATTTCAAAGTAGTAATTATTCTTCTTATTGAAACCCGACTTGCCTTTCTAAACACGAACAAAGACAACAGCTGTTTGCTGAATCTATAGCAATTTCTGGTTTCCTGCATTTTCCTTCAAAATGGTGGAAAAACAAACTTGATCCTAAATGTACTTTTCCGAGGTAAACCAAAGTCGATAAACCGCAAATGCTACTTGATACCATTTCTGGTTTCTGATGAAGTGGTAGTGCCTGATCCAAACGCTGTACCTCACCTCCACTCACAGAGCTCAATACTGTTGTTCTTTCCAATTTTCTCTTATAAATAATTTCTCTTTAATACATCTAAGCCTCACGCAATAACCACTCACCAGCTTTCAGACTAAAATTGTGGAAAATCTCTTTTGAGATGTTGGTTTTGTAGATTCTGCACAAATCGGAATCTTTCGACTTTAAACAAATTGGACAAGAACCAATTTATGACTGAAAAAAATGCAAAATTTTCACAGAAGTATCTCAAATGATATTGAAAGCAAAATCACTTTTAATCTAGTTATTCAATGCTTCGATTACAGTACTACTTAAAAACAAAAACAAACATTGTAAAAACGACAAATTCCCTCTGAAGATCAGCTCAAAATGTCCCTTCAGTGGTTATGTTAAAAGGTTTCCAAAACCAATCAATCAAGACAAAAAAAAATCACCCCAAAGGACAGGAGAGCTATCAATTTATAATTTATGAGCAAATTTGGGATGGCCTGTGGAGTGCACGGTGTTGGGAGTTCCACGGGCCATGGAGGTTTATGAAGAGAAGTCTCCTGCCCTCCAGGACTTCTCGCCCTTGTAGGAAGTGAGGGGTCGTGGCGGTTCCACGGCAGGAGAGAGACGGTTTGGGGAAGGTTTCATGGTGGGGATTGCATGGCTGACGCTGAAGTCTAGCCAAGAAGGGAGGTATGGTGTGTTTTAGGTAGAGCAGAGAGGCCACGGACAGACACAGATGTGATAAAAACCTCACTCACAAAATGAATGTCGCCTGGTTTGGATGAAGATTGGATAACATTGTTCAGTGCGTTTCAAGCCTCATCCTTGGAAAATGGAGATGATAAATCATTTCACAGAGGACGATAAAGAATTTATAAAGTGGCCTGTAAGTGGCTGGTACATGTGACTAATCCTAAAAGCTACCATCATTTCATGTGCCAGGTCCATATATATAAATATATAGTTATCTCATTTAATCTTTACACAAGACAATGGGTATGAGATAGACCTTATCCTCAGTAATACTCTTGTCTGAGTGATGCTAGACAATTTGGCCTGGCATTGAAGGAGCTGGTACCCGTCTCCACAGTTTGACTTAACTACAGATATGATTACCCACCTTCACCGAGTCCGTTCCAACCCTGCCACCCTATAGGGCAGAATAGAACAGCCCCACAGTGTTTCCACGGCTGGAAAACATTAAGGGGGCAGGCTGCCTCTTCTTTCTCCTGCAGAGCAGCTGGGGTGGGAGTGGGGTGTTCAAACCATCAGCCTTTAAGTTAGCTGCACAAGGCTTAACCCAGTGGACTTCCAGAGCCCCTTTAACCAAACCAAATGCATTGCCATCTAGTTAATGCTGACTCACAGGGACCCTCTGTGTGTTTCTGAAATGATACTGTTTATGGGAGTAGAAAGCCCAGTCTTTCTCCCGAGGAGCTAATAATGGTAGTTTTGAACTGCCGACCATGGAGATTGCAGCCTAGTCTCTTGCAAATGTGAATGCACATATGCACACACACAAAAGAGGCAAAAAGAAAGGGGCATTTTCCCAATGTCAATGATGTACTGGGAACTTTGTTTTCTTAGACATAAGATGTTAGGCTCTGCATGTATTTTCCATCCAACTTGTATTTTAAATTCCTTCCTTCCTGAAACGCAGATCGTGAAAGTCCTTGATGGGAAAAAGGGCTATGGAATCTGACCAAGATTCAAAAATGGGACCATGGGGGAGACAAACTACTAAAGAGAAGTTTCTATGAGGATCTTCAAAATGGCTTCAAGGGTCAGAATATGTTATTTGTATTATGGGTATTTTTAACATGATTTGGAAAGGCAGGGAATTAAATTCTACTTACAGACTAACATTAACACTGAATTACAAAAGTGTAAGTTGAAATTGTATAAGGTCTGTGAAAGAAATGTGCATGGGCATGCGTTATTGATGCAAACGATGCCATCAAGCAGTGGTTCCCAGCCTTCCTACTGCCGTGACCCTTTCATACAGTTCCTCGTGTGGTGGTGACCCTCAACAATAACATTATTTTCATTGCTTCTTCATAACCGTAATTTTGCTACTGTTATGGATCAGGCGACCCCTGTGAAAGGGTCATTCGACCTCCAAAGGGGTCACGACCCACAGGTTGAGAACAGTGCCATAGGGTAATTAACTCTTTTTCTTGTTATGTAAAGTACATAAACTGCATCCTTTTTTTTTGGAGCCCTGGTGGTGTAGGAGGTTACACATTGGACTGCTAACTGTAAGGTCAGCAGTTTGAAACCACCAGTCACTTTGCAGGAGAAAGATGAGGCTAATGAGAGATAGGGCCTCGAAACCCAGGTAGTTCTACTCTGTCCTACAGGGTCACTATGAGTTGGAATTGACTCAATGACTTGGGTTTGCTTGGTCTTTTCTTTAGCAAACATATTAAAATCAGCCTGAAAGGAATTACAGGCTAATAATGTTGGACTTCAATGCACTTTTGTAATAGGCTCTCACACATTATATTGTAAATTATAGGTTTTGTGAAGTTGTCTAGACGCCACAGAATTCTCGTACTGGAAAAGGACTTGGCAGGCACTTAATACTCACTCACCCTCAAATTTAGAAATGAGCAAAATGACTTTTCCCGAGGCCCTGAGATCACGTGGCCCAGTCAGCTGCAAAACACTCTTTGTCATCGCACTAAGCATAGAAGATACTTTAGTTTCATTTTTCCATCTTATGACGGCAAAGCGTCCTACATGTTTTGAGTTGGATAGAATTAAATAGTGCCACCTTGGGTCTTTTCCAATTCATGCCTTTATGCTTTCTGTATTTCAGCCTAATCCACCCTGCTTTAGCAGTCATTGACCTTCAGGTACTACACGTGAATAATAAGACTCAAAACAAAAGAAGTCGCTAAGCTTCCTTATCTCACACTGACACAGCAGTGTCAACAATTCAAGTCTCTGAACAATAATGAGGGAAAGCCAGTCATTCCAATTACCAAGGAAACAGGCAATGGAGATGGTTTACAAGCAGCATTTGGACATGGATTGTCTGACATACATGAAAATTAGAACAAAATTAATGCCTTGTAATCTGGATGCAGAAATCCACTTAGAATTTCAATTTAATGACGAAGAACACCAAAGACTTCGATTCACTGATCCACTGAAACCCCGGGGAAGGGGGGGAGGGGGACGTTAGGTCATAAGCCTCTTAGGCCCATCTTCTCTGGGCGAAACTGGCACCTTCAATACACCATCTGTAGTTTGGTCATATTTTGCATCCTTTCCCAAATTAAAATTTAGATCCAGGACCTAAGAGTTTCAAAGAACAATGTAACTTTCAAGCCAAAGATGGGAAGATATTGAGAAGCAACAACTTGAACCCACAGACTGGCACTTATGATGAGAACCCTGTTGTTTGACACCAACAGGAAGAAAGATCACGGCTTGAGCTCCTGTGATCCCGATTTCCAGAGGCCTCTCCGCCCTGCAAGAGTGAGCCAAAGGTGCCTATTAACTGCCACGCTCCCTCCCAAGAACCAGCCATTTCTGGTCAACCACCCACCATGTGGCACTCTGTAGCATCGGTTCAAAGGACGGCACTACTGTGAGGTTCTTGGAACAGATGTTTTTACTAATGTTCTAATTACTTCAGTATGGGTGATAACAAAACCTATTGGAAAGAAAAATACTGACAACTAGACCAGCAAGCAGCATCAACATAAATGGAAGTTTGATTGAAGTTATTAAGGATTTATTTTACTTTGATCGGCAACCACCACCATGAAAGCAGCAGCCATGAAATCAAACTAATTTTAATGCCATGTTTCAATGGGCACATCGACCAAAGACCGCTTTAAAGTGTTCAAAGCAAAGATGTCACTTGAGGAATGTGACAGAATTCCTGTCGACTTCGTTGGGTTAGGATTCTTCTTGGTTTCGACATGAAGACCCCGGAATTCCCTCTGATGGGACCTGACAAAACATGATCACCTCCATGGTGGGATCTGCTGTAAGTAGATGAGCTGTAAAAAGATGAGGGTGGGATGCAAGTTCTTTCCTCAGATCATAGCCCTGATGTGATCAATCAAAAGGCTTTTCCTTTGTGTATGGCCTGCTTCCAATAGAAGTGGATGCTATGAGATGCTTGCTTGCTTGCTTCTTCCTAGGTCTGCATCCTGCATCTGACTCATCAACTTCTGGTTCTTTAGACTTGAGCCACTGGCCTGCTGTATGGTCTACAAATTCTGGGAGTGATCAGAGGGCTGCCATGGAATGACCTTGGGTTCATTTGCCTCTGTAGCCACCGGTCTGTTGTCTTTCCGCTAATTTTGGTTTTATCAGCTCCTGAAATTATGCAAGTCAAGAGAATTCTCCAAATTAACATCTGGCCTATAATTTCAAAACCAGCCCAGACCTGCCTGGGATCGCTCACTTTTACTACTGCGTGAGCTGTTTTCTTGATACATTTCTCTATCTATCTATCTATCTATCTATCTATCTATCTATCTATCTATCATCTATCTATCTATGAATCTATCTATTTACCTACCTACCTATCTATCTATCTATCTATGAATCTATGATTCCCTGGTTTGACTTCTCTACAGAACCCATGCTAAGACAAGGACTGAGATACACCTGACCCAAGCCATGGTATTTCCAATTGCCTAATAAACATGGAAAAGCTGGCCAAGACTCAATAATAAATGCCCTTCAATAATGGTGTTGGTAAAGAATATTAACTATACCATGGACTTCCGGAAGAGTGAACACATCTTTCTTGGGAGAGTACAGTCAGAATGCTCCTTAGAAGTGAGGAGGGTGGAAGGCTTTGTCAAACTTTCTTTGAAGCTCTTATCGGGAGGGACCGGCCGCGGGAGAAACACATCGCACTTGGGAAAATAGAAGCCCAGTGAAAAAGAGGCAGATGCTCAACAATATAGACTAGACGCAGTGGTTGCAACAAATGGCTCAAATGTAGTAGTGGCGGTGATGGTGCAGGGCTGAGTAACGTTCCGTTCTGTTGCACACATGTGGATCCCTACGAGTTGGAATTGATTCGGGGACACCAAACCTCAACAAAAAGCCCCTTCGAATGCTCCCAAAACGGTCATGTCACATAAGGATTCAAGACACACGGGAGTCATGTGGGAAGGCAGATTCACATTCAGACGAGTCCCAGGCTTCTTCCTAAGCAATTTTTATGGGGATTTTCCAAATCCAAGAAAAGTATCCATCTGATATTGAGATTTTTAATTCCTTATCTTTACCCACCATTTTACACAATAGTTGCCTTGTACTTTGGCTGCTAATTCACACTCTCACCCAGTGACCACGGTGCCACGAGCTTCTGTAGGACATGTCCCCAGAAACGGAGGGAAGGAATGCATGGTTATGTCTCGAAGAGGGGCGTTTCTGTGATTTTATATACTCTCTAGATAGGTAACTTAGTTCAGTATTGTGACAAGCACTTTAAATTCCTTTTCAAGAACATCATCGTGGAAACCTTTACTGCTCCCTGGCACCAAGTATCCAAATTCTGGGTCTCTGTTGCTTTTCCTGTAATCACAGCTCTATATGTGGACAGGAACTCAAGGGTCTCCGTCCACAATTCCAGGTCAATGCAGTATTAAGGGTTTTTCCACATAACACCTTAGTTTCCAAAGAACTTTCTTGAGCTGAACCCAGGTGACACAGAGCTGCATTGATTAGCCCCATCCGGAGTCCCTTCCTTTCATCCTTGGTGCCCGTCTTGTCTCCTCTGATGAGCGTTCCTTTTGTTACTTTCTAAGCCGGCAAGACTGGCACTCCTCTTTGGCCCTGCAGCATGATTTAAAGTCCCATGTTAACTACATCACTGGGCAGCGGCCTCATTACCATCCAAGGAAGTTCTGCAGGTGATGGCTCAAGCTGACGCGTCCTGCAGAGATGCGGAGACCCACAGGGTGCTTTTCTCATGGATCTGCTGGGTCTGTCATTCATTATTAGTGCAGCCACTCGCCCCTTGCCTCCTAGGTTGTCATGTTCTGAAGAGTCTCCTCGGGTCCAGTTCTCTCTGTGCACAGTCTGCTTGTTCCAACAGCATGTATGTCACCTCCAGTAGAGAGGATGTCTGGATCTTGGTTACCAATTTGACAGTTCCCAGGGCATATCCTTGCTTGCCTAGCATCCGTGTTTGAAAAGGAAATGTGATATTTACATCCATACAGCTTTTTTTAAACCTTGCTTTCAATGTAAGGGGCTTCCGTCCTCTTTAGAACATGGTCCCTGGTCTGGAAGCAAGTCTAACTTTTTAGATACAAGTATTCAGTTGGCCTCTTTTGTGTGGCTCTCACATTCACATTTAACTTTAATGGCAATATCTGAAAATGCTGTGAGATGCTTTCTGAACGGAGGCAGTATATAGCGTTTGATGGATGGTTCAATCAACGAGTGGCCCCTTCCCAATGTTACTCAACGTGCTTCGCTGAGTGCTACAAATGCATCTTATGTCCTGTGTCCAAAATCTTCATTATCCCAAGAAACTCTACCAAACTTGAGACACAAAGATTTGCGAGCCATTTTAAGGAAATGTGAACTTTTTCATTATTGTCAGCAGTGCATATGTAATGACATATGTACATTGTTTATGTGCTATATACAAGGTATGATCAGATATAAATATAACTATTGAAAAGGCATCATTTTTAAGAAAAGCAGAATTACAGTAATCAAATCATTTTTGCTTTCATGCAACAGTACATTATTTCTATTTATATATAAATCTCCAAGGAAATATCAATGATGGAATAGTTAAAAAAAAGTTACACTGCTAATGTTTAATTATCCAAGGCAGTGAAGGAGAATCATAGTATAGGGAATTTAAAATAGCAGGAAATGTAAAAAGCATTAAGACTTGACTTTATATTGCTTTTTACATCTAAAAACAGCCTAAGTGTGGGGGTATTTTGCTCATTCCAACATTTTATATTATGATTTAAAAGCTCCTGGTCTGCTTGAGTCAGGAGACCGAGGGAAGACGGCAGGCTACAACTTCCTGTGCCATCGGCGGGGGTGCGGCAACCTCACACACAGAGCAGAAGGATGAAGGCGCTCGTAGCTGAGAAAGATTTTTGCTGCTTTTACTAAGAATCACAAATAGTATAGACTGCAAGACAATCTAAATTGCACAAACTCCATTTACAATAAAATTTATGATGAATGCAATATATGACTTCACTAGAGGTCTCGAGATTAGAATGGTCAGACTTTGGCTGCACAGGAGAGCGTGGCTTCCTTTGAATTGCAGTGAGCAAACTCTCCAAGAAAGTATGGACTTAACACTGACCTTTCCAATAACAGGGGAAATATAGATCACCCATCGAAAGGAACTAATCAATGCTTACCATTAAACTTTTAAATTTTCTATTTTCTGCAATGTGGAAAAAGCCATCTCTTGTTAAAATCTTGATGTGCTTTGCTTCATTATTATACCTGTGGGAGATGAATAACTTATGAATATAAATGTGTTTTTAATCAGTAGAAATCAATAATTACCAGAGGGCATGCCCCAATACCATTGTAGGAATTAATTCTGAAGACAAAATATATACCTATGCCAATACACTCGTGACAGCTAATTAACAAAATATATTTACTAGATTGGTTGAAGATACAACCAATATTTGAGGCAACGAGTAGAGTGAAAGAGGATTTACCATAATCTTTATTCCCCTTTTGCTTAGTAAATTTACTTTGTGAATGTGGAGAAACAAAACAAAATACAATCTAGTAGTATATACCCTTAGAACGAATTAGAAATAAACACACACATCACATCACCAAAAATACAATGTTATGAAAGAAACCTAATATGCCAATTAGCAGCCTATAACACTTATTACTGTTGTTCTAACAGAAATTTTCCAGTGTTCATGAACTGTCTGGGTGGAGGCATTATTCCGGCTGCAATTAGAAGCTTGGTTTTCAGCTTCAGTGTTATACACGTCAGATGGTCTATGCAATTATGAAAACAGGAAAGCTATTTCCGTAAAAGTACCTGTCCTACTTACTTAATGCTAATTGCATATTCTCCTGACTCTTTGGTCCTGTGCCTCACAAGGTAAGTACTATTTACCCTATTAATAAGTTCAGTCTCTGCCTGTAACCTTTCCATTGCTCCAGCATACCTGTAAGAAACAACGACACAGCAAATTTGAAAGATGTATTCGAAAGAGAAAAGAGGCTTAAAAATAGGTATGTCAAGATTTTAATTTAGTGGCAGATCTGAGTTGTCTTAATGTCCATACTAATTAATTGCATTGCTTCCAAATATTAAAGTAATATTAAAAAATTTTAGTATTTCAAACTAAAATGCTCTACAAATTTAACATAAGTCAAACAAATAGTACCTAATGCATAGTAAGCACTCAGTAAATATTCATGAAACAAACGGGACAAAGAGAAGGGCTGAGAAGCGTTAGATTAGACGCAGAGCTGTGGGGCGTTTAGGGACAAGAAAGAGTTGGACGAAGAGACTGCCTTGTAACTCACTCACTCACTCACACTACTCACTCACTCTACTCATTCACTCTACTCACTCACTCACTCACTCACACTACTCACTCACTCACTCACTCACACTACTCATTCACTC